TGCAGCTCCATGTCAGTACTGCTGAACTCCATTAGGTGTCCTCTACTTGTGACTATTTCTGTATACTGTACTGTATGTGCAAGGTTGTCAAGAGGAATATTGGGGGAGGGGTTATTAGGCTCTGTGGACCCAATTTTTAAAATCATTTTGTTTTTATACAATGAAAACTCAAACTGTCATTTTGGAGAACCAGTCATTCTAACCTGAAGCTTCAACTATCAGTTTTGCTCCCTTTTCTTCCCTTGCATCTTCTTCCTCCTCCACCCTAACTCCTGTTTTTTGCCAGTAATTATTTAGTTTTCCTTTAGCTCCAGCACTATAATTTTATAAAAAGAGCCATAGAAATCAGAGCTGAAAAGGACCAGATTACTTCATCTAGTCCATGCAGGATTGTTCCCCATAGTATATTTTCCTAGTGCTTATGAAAAATTGCAGTTTCTGTGTTCCATTTAAAATCCATTTACAACTGGCAGGTTTGCTCTCTGCCTTTTCTCCCATGACTTGTAAAAGTTTACGTTGCCGATGTGTGTCCATACATGCATTAATATATGAGCTCAAACTGCAATCAGTTTTGCACCCTTGACTCCAAGGGCCAAACACCATAATAATTTTCCTCTGAGAAGACCTGGAGGCTTAAGCAAGAGGGCAGAGGACTACGTGACTAAACCGTCCAAACTTCCTCTTTCATAAGTCGTCACATGATGAAGTACAATTACAATTCCTGCCTTGTCTCTGTGAATTGCAGACGCATTGCCTCACCCTAGAAATCCTGCTCCTGTATGTGTGTGGAGGAGGCAGCAATAGCTGCCTATGCAGCCGATTTGGAAGTGATCCAACTTCAGTCTGAGGAGAGAGAGAGAGAGAGAGAGAGAGAGAGAGAGAGAGAGAGAGAGAGAGAGAGAGAGAGAGAGAGAGAGAGAGAGAGAGAGAGAGACAGAGAGAGAGAGAGAGAGACAGAGAGAGCGAGAGAGAGAGAGAGAGAGAGAGAGAGAGAGAGAGAGAGAGAGAGAGAGAGAGAGAGAGAGACAGAGAGAGAGAGAGAGAGACAGAGAGAGAGAGAGAGACAGAGAGAGAGAGAGAGAGAGGGAGAGGGCGAGAGGGTGGTGGGTGGAAGACAAAAACAAAGGTTTGTTTACTTAGTATACATTGATAAACCTGCTTCAGAGCAGCATAAAAGCTCAGGCGGTTTGAAAGACCTTTGATACAGTATAAGGAATTACTATTCTGAAAAGCCCAGCATCAAGGCTTAACCCTCTTATATCCAGAGCCTTTTATGGAAAAGCAGTATAGCACCAAAATAGTTTTTCCCCTCCCCATTTTAAAGCAATCCTTTCATCAAGGAAGTTACAACAATATAGTTTCAATATTAAATAGCCAATGTAAAATAAAAAAGGAAATGCTTATTTGAAAAAAAAATAGCTCCTTTGAGACCCTTAGTATCTTTCATTGTTGAATTTATTTTTGGTTATTTCATTGCTTCCGTTTTAGGTGTGAATTCTTAGGTGCTTGGATTATAATAGTCCAGAACTAGTTTCATGTAAATTAACAAAAGTATGTTTTTAATGGCGAATTTTATTTCACTCAACATTTTCACTCAACATTCATGCGTAAGTTGAGGAAGGATCTGTTCAGGGGCCATGAAACCTGGACAAAGCCACTAGTCAAATTATGATTTTTCACTTATGCCGCCGTTCAGCAAAATCCCTGGGAGAATGAATGATCGATCACACACTGATGTGGTAGGGTAATAGGATTCCACTGAGCTGTCTCCTTAGCCCACTCTTCGGGGAGAAATATCCAAAGGGGAATGGATATTACCAGCCACAGTTGTGAAGGTGAAAGAGTTACCTAACCCGTTTGCACTAGACTACGTCAGGGAGGGTTACATTGTGACCCAGCTTGCACTGGAGTAAGACCTGGAGTGGCTACATTCTCCCTGTTTGTTATAGGGTGAGGGTGGATTGGGATGAGGAGCGGAGATTCAACAATGTGCTTGGGGGAGACTTTTGAGTTATTAGTAGCACCTTCTTTTTTGGAAATACCCAAGAGGAGACTTATGTGGAGTTTAACATGTAAAAAACATTTAAGTTTGGCATTAAAGTACCTCTGTAGCTTTTCGAACAGGTTTTTTCATGTGATTTAAGACTCATCGCAACTGTTTCTCTAAGGGTGTTTTTTTCTCTTCCTTTAGGTTAATTCTTTCAAGCAACCTGGCATTTTGAAGAGCAACAACAAAAGAGGAACGTCAGCGGGATTATTCCCCCCCTCGCTCCCTACCAATCCAGTTGTAGGAAACATAATATAATTATTACCCTGATCTTCCCACACTTAACCGGCTCATTCCAGTCTAAGGAAGAGATGTGAACCTGGATTCACTGGGAGGAAAAAGACTGAAAATGGAAATCTAAAATTCTTAATTGAAGAGGAGCGCTTCCTGTGTTTCCTAGCCAACAAACACAATCCAAAAATTAACACAGCAGAATAAAGGGTAAAAATAAAAATTTCAGTTCATTATGTGCATACTAAAACAGTCTACACTACCTCTATAACTGTAAATCAATCTTCGTGTCAGCCAGGTTTGTTCCTGCAACCATGCTACACACTAACCCCAGCTGAGTGTGTAATTACAAACACACCGCCCCTCCCCCCTTCACCAAACTTACAGCAGTAGCCAAGTGTACAATTGTAAATGCCCCCTCTAACCCTTAATGCCCACTGGGTGCCACTGGCTCCAGTCTACTCATCCCTATTCTGAATGAAAGAAAGGCCGCAGATTTTACGCTTGCAGTAGGCTTCATATCACTGCGAGATGAAAGAGTATCACAGTGAAGCTTTTTACACCCATCCCAATGTACTGTACAAGCTGCTCTTGCTACCTTTAGTAAAAGTTTAGCCTGACTGAGGGAGGGACCTGAGATCCCAGAAATAGCAGCCGGGAGGCGGTGCCTAGTGCTGTGACGGAGGTGCTGGCTATAGATCTCTCTCTGTTTCTCTCTATCCTTGGAATGTGCATTTCGTTTAATGAGGCTTCAAGTGCCAATTGCATAGAGTCACGTCCCTACCGAGCCTGCGCACAACGCGGCTGAGGCACATGGGGCAGCGGCAGCCTGGGACAAAATGCCAACGTCACAAGTAGCTCCCTTCCCCCTCTCTAACCTACATAAAGCTGCTGCTGCTGCGCTGTAGGGAATGGCGACCCACAGGCAGCTGAGTTTGCAGGCATCACTTCCACGTTGTCCATTGCACACAAACCAGCCCAGACTCAAGGAACCTTTTCCTGTTGTAGACGCTACTTTACCTAACCATGGATAGCACATAGACGAAGACACTCCATTTAAACTGTAGTTTGGTGGGTATAATGGTCAGATAAGCTGCATAGCATTTGAAATTGTATGGAAGAAATAATGTAATGCATTTGGGAAGAGGAACTCATCATATTTCAGTTCATTCCCCGTAATACTGCAAGTTACACTAGAAAAGGGTTGTTAATGCATTTTGTTTGCACAGCATTCCTTTTCCCTCCCCACATGGAAACCAATGAAAAATAGCAAACATAAGCATATTAAGATAGGTAGGTATTTTTAAGCCCGTCTTTTGTCAGTAAAAGTTCTTACGTTTCATTTTCTTAAATCAAATGGAAGTAAAAATATTTTCTATAAATGCAACCCGGAACAAATTCTTATTTATAATGCAGCCTTCTTTGAGGTTTTTGAACCCACAGTTCAAGTACCATGCATAAGTTTAAAACGTGATTCTATAAACCGTCCCAAACATAAACAAAACGGCCACCTTGATGTGATTAACAGACTCCAAAGTGGCAAAGCTTAGGGGCTGCGGAGGGGTGGGGGTGTGGATTGCCCTTTAAGCGTGATGTGGGCCAAAAGGACTTTTGAAAATATCCTGACTGATATGTCAATATAGCGTAGAAGGCGAGCAAAGTGAAGGGGGTGTTGCGCGGGGCGGGGGGGGGAGGGAAGAAAGTGAAGGAAAAGAAAAACAACATTTGCATCACATTCACATTGGAAAGACTTTCTGCTCCTCCCTAAACGCTTCCCTCCCCCTTCAACGGCTGCTGACAAGCCAGCGCTCGGAGCAAGAAGCTGGTTCTTCTTGCAGCTCTTGTTATCTTGGCAGAAGTTCAATGAGCACAGCACTGGGAGGGAGAAAGAGAGAAAAAAAAGAGGGAAAAAAAAGAGAGAGAGAGAGAGAGAGAGACGGCGAGAAAGGAGGGGGACCCTAACGCGCAGGCGCCTTCGGAGGCTGTCGAAGAATCAAGTCTGTAGAAGTGGAGCAGCCGCGGCGGCAGCAGCAGCAACAGCAGCAGCGGCAGCAGCAGCAACAGCGGCAGAGGCAGAGGCAGCGGCAGAGGCAGCGGAGGCAGTAGCGGCGGTAGCTGGGGCTGGGCGGTGACGCCAGCGTCTGGGGGAAGCAGTAGGTGGTGGAGGCGACGGCGGCAGAAGCAGCTGTAGTTGTGAGGGACGACTGACTCGGAGAGCCGCGCTGCATAGTAACTCCACGCTGACTCTGCCACCTTGGTGCGGCATGCACCGCCACTCGGGCTAGCTACCCTCGGCGGCTGCACCACATCACCCACCCCTCTCCCTTCCCCCCGCCCCCCTCTACATCCCCACCCCCTTTTCCTCGCTTAGCACCGGCCCCGAAGACCTGCTGCACTCCCCTGCACCAACGCGTCCGGTGTTTGCACCGGTCTGGAGACCTGCTGCAGCCTCAGCTTGCACAGACTCCAGGACCTTGCTGCTGCAACCCCAGCCGGCCTACAACAGCCCCCGACCGGCCCGCACGGGCAGAGGGGACCTGCTGCCGCCTCGGCTGTACCCTTTTCCTCCCCGCCCCCCGCCTCTTTTGCACTGGGAGCGCTGCACGGGGCCCAAGGTTTCCCGGGGTTTGCCTCGACCGCCGCTGCAGCCCCAGCCACCGCTGCCGCCGCCTCCGCTGGTCGGGGAGTTGCGGGGTTGGAGGGGGGGGAGGGTGCGTGTGTTGCCGGCGGGGGGCGGCGGCGCCTCCTCCTCCTCCTCCTCCTCCTCCTCCACCACCACCACCACCACCTCCACCTCCTCCTCTTCGTCCTCCTCTTCGGACATGTCGACCGCGGCTGTGGCGGTGGCGGCCGCTTCCCGGCGGCAGTCATGTTACTTGTGTGACCTGCCCCGCATGCCCTGGGCCATGATCTGGGACTTCACCGAGCCCGTATGCCGAGGCTGCGTCAACTACGAGGGCGCTGACCGGGTCGAGTTTGTCATCGAGACGGCGCGGCAGCTCAAGCGGGCGCACGGCTGTTTCCCGGAGGGCCGCTCTCCGCCCGGCTCGGCCACGGCGGCCGCATCGAAGCCGCCTCCACTCTCCACCAAGGACATCCTCCTGCAGCAACAGCAGCAGCAGCAGCAGCTGGGCCACGGCACTGCCGGCGTTGCTGAGGCGGCCTCGCGGGCCCCGCAGGGCCTGGAACGCTACCCCCTGGCGCCCGCCGCCGCCACTGCCGAACGGGCTCCCCCGAGACTGGGCTCCGAGTACGGAACGGGCCGCCAGCCTGCGGGCGGGCCTACGACCCCGCAGCCGCAGCAGCAGCCGCCGCCCCCGCCTCAGCAGCAGCAAGTGAACGGCATCCTGGTGCCCAATGGCTTCTCCAAGCTGGAGGAGCCGCCCGAGCTCAACCGCCAGAGCCCCAACCCGCGGCGCAGCCACGCGGTGCCCCCCACCCTGGTGCCGCTGATGAACGGCTCCGCCGCGCCGCTTCCCGCGGCTCTGAGTCTCGGCGGCCGTGCCGCCGCAGCCTCGCTCGCTGCCATCTCCAGTAACGCCGGGCCCCCCCTGGGCCCCGCGCAGTCCGCGGAGCTGAGCGGACACAAGCGGCCCAGCTCGGTGTCCGGCGGCGGAGGCGGAGGCGGCGCGGGGACCGAGCATGAGCCGCGGGAGGCAGCCAAGGAGAAGCAGCCCCAGGCTGCTCACCGGGGTCCCGCGGACAACCTGGCGGCCACCGCGGCTGCCGTCTCAGTGCCGGGCGCGGCTGAACTCGGCGGGGAGGGAGGAGGCAAGGGCCGGGGGCCCGGGGAGCAGGACTGGGTGAACAAGCCTAAGACGGTGCGGGACACGCTGCTGGCGCTGCATCAGCACGGCCACTCGGGGCCCTTCGAGAGCAAGTTCAAGAAGGAGCCGGCCATGGCCCCTACCAGGATGCTGGGCTTCGAGGCCAACGGCGCCAACGGGGCCAAAGCAGGTAGGCCGCACCTTGCTGGCTCACGGTGGACGGTTTTCGGGGGGGGGGCGGGGAGCGAATGGGATGAGGATTTTGGGGGGTGCTTTCCTTGGCCACCTTGCCCCAGCCCCCAGAAACAACAAACACCCAACTTCCTGATCTGCATAAGGCGGAACCATTGCTTAGGTGGCAACGTGTTCATGTGCTGAAGCAGCATAACAGAGATGAGTCAGACTGGGGTGATAGACACTGACAGAGGGTTTTCCTTTCCTAGCACATTCTTGGGAAAGGAGTTATGAAGGCCCTAGTCACCTTTTAACCTGTTCAGCAAACGTGTATTCAGTTAGATGCACAATCCACTCTGTTGTACACACATTTGTCGTTTTTATATCATTTCCTAGATACAGTTTTAAAGAGGCAAGCAAGCACACGTTTCATGTTCTGGTGTGGTTTTTTTGTATATGTAGTTTATTTTAAATAAGTTTCCTTTTGTGGCAATATCCTTTTTTTTCCACATCAGTATTCCTGTTAGACGCTTTAAAACAGTATATGCTGACACCTACAATTTGGTTATGCATTAAGAATCATATGTTAAAAAAAAGAATCTTATGCTGTGAGATTTTTCTGGACCCTGACTCAAAGGTCACTCCATGTACATATTTATCCTTTTTCCCTCTTTTTTTCTTTACTTCTTTGTGTTCCTAGTTGCTCGTACAGCGAGGAAGAGGAAACCTTCCCCAGAACCGGAAGGTGAAGTTGGTCCTCCCAAGATCAATGGAGAGGCACAGCCATGGTTAACAACCCAAACAGAAGGGATGAAAATCCCCATGACTCCCACGCCGTTTGTGTCTCCACCACCACCCACTGTCTCACCTCATTCCAACCGGACCACACCGCCAGAAGCGGCTCAGAATGGTCAGTCCCCCATGGCAGCTCTGATCTTAGTAGCAGACAATGCAGGGGGCAATCACGCCTCCAAAGATGCCAACCAAGTTCACTCCACTACCAGGAGGAATAGCAACAGTCCACCTTCCCCATCCTCTATGAACCAAAGAAGGCTGGGCCCCAGAGAAGTGGGGAACCAGGGGTCCAGCACTGGGGGACTGGAACCGGTACACCCCGCCAGCCTCCCGGACTCCTCTCTGGCGGCTAGTGCCCCACTGTGTTGCACCCTGTGCCATGAGCGTCTCGAGGACACCCACTTCGTACAGTGCCCCTCGGTTCCTTCGCACAAGTTTTGCTTTCCTTGCTCCAGACAAAGCATCAAACAGCAGGGAGCTAGTGGAGAGGTCTATTGTCCCAGTGGGGAGAAATGCCCTCTGGTGGGCTCCAATGTCCCTTGGGCCTTTATGCAGGGGGAAATTGCGACCATTCTTGCTGGAGATGTGAAAGTGAAAAAAGAAAGAGACTCGTGACTTTTCCAGTTTCAGAAAAACCCAATGATCACCCTTATCTAAAACTGCTTGAATTGTGTATATATCTCTCTCTATATATATATCCAAGACAAGGGAAATGTAGACTTCATAAACATGGCTGTATAATTTTGATTTTTTTTGAATACATTGTGTTTCTATATTTTTTTTTTGACGACAAAAGGTATGTACTTATAGAGGCATTTTCCTCTTTTGTTAACGTTATTAGCAGATCTTTGTGCTTTATTATCCTGGTGACAGTTACTGTTTAATGTAGGCTGTGACTTGCGCTGCTTTTTAGAGCACTTGGCAAACCAGAAATGCTTCTAGCTGTATTTGTATGCACTTGTTTTAAAAAGAAAAAAAAGCCAAATACATTTTCTGACATTGTAAGATCGCCTTACTGTCTGTTATTCCTTATTCTTGGCCCCTTTCTTTAATCGAAAAGGAGGCAGAATAACTGAGAAGGAAAGCAAATGGAAGGGACAAGATGGTTAAGTGGGGGTATCACTATAGGAAATAACAAAGGGGTTCACATCTAAACATTGTCCTTGTATAGTAATAAAAAAGTAGACTGAATTTTTCTGTACTACTTAAAGTTCAATTCTTGGGCCATAGGGTGACTTGTCTGAGAGGCGCTGCTGAGTTAGGGATTTCTGGGATTGTATTGCGTGGTGTGTGTGTGGTTTTTGTTGTTGTTGTTGGGTTTTTTGTTTTTTGGGGGAGGGGTTTGGATTTTTTTGGTGTGTTTTTAAAAAGCAAACGACCACTGTTCACGTGATCAGTTGTAAGATTACAAAGCTGCATGCTTTAGTTTATTACATAATGTACAATTTCAGTGATGGAAAGCAATTATAATTGATTGTGGTGTATACAGCATGGCACTGCCATCTTTGAAAAGATCCTAGCTCTGCAGCGCCACTTTATATTTTTTTAAACAACGCCCTAGAAACTCTCGTTTTTGTTTTTTTGTTTTTCCTTTGAGAGAAGTCACAAGAGAAGTTGTAGTGTAGTGAACTTTGAAATTATTGGGGTGGGGAGGGAGGGGGGAATCATCAGTTACCTGTAGTATTGTTGCTATTGATGCTATCATCTACATCCTATTTCCAGTTAGTGGTAAATACAGTGTGGTACAATGACAGCAGCAACTGAGGTTCTGCCAGAATTGCCTCCAGGCATATCAGTGACAGCCCAAATGTGGGTGGAGGAAACCTGTAATTTCCTTCTTACATGTGTTTGAAACACAAAGTGAATAAATAATATTGTTCTGAAAAGTGATCAAATAAAATACTGAAAATGAAAGAAATTAAGAATTTTACATAAGACATACCCCATTTTAAAAACTATTTTTGGAAACTTTTTGTAAATTGAATTTCTTTTGATCAAAATTTTGCATCAGTAAATGATTTTTTTGAAACCAATAAATCAGTTATTAGAAATAGTTGTGTTACATTGTACTGGGGGAGGGGGAGGGGGGGAAAGTGTGTGCTATTATACATAATATTATCAGGAACAGTATTTCAAAATCCTCTTGGTCTAGTGTTTCAAAGTTGACCATTAAAAAAAAAGATTAGTCTCTTGAAGAACTGAAGGGCCTACTTGGACAGTTTTTGTGTTCACATTCGTACCTGCACAACTTTTATTTTGAAAAATACAAAATTTACCAGCTTTTAGATTGTCTTCAGTTAATTTTTTTAAAAAATTCTGACATTTATACAGAATTCAGTGGATGAAATTTTTAAAAAACCATGGGTCAAGTTGTTAACACTTGAACATCAGATACTGTACCAAGTAGAGCATTTTTTCTTACTGTTTTTAATGACTACACTCGAATTAATCCTGTCCAGATCCCTATTATATCCATATTATCATTATGACAATATATGCAGACTTGAATGATTAACCAATTTAAGTAATTTTTATGCTTTTTACAAAACTGAAGTATATTTGACTGTCAATCCAGACCAGTCTGTTATGTAAACACAATGCAGAAACACATATAGGCAGTTTTAAATGCACATAAACACAGCTGTAAAGAATTCTTTGGAACCATGTTGGTCTGTTGTTTAAATGTTCATCTAGATACTTTATTAAAAAGTGGATTTTGGCTCACAGATATAACAAGTTAGGCAGTCAGTTGACCCAGTGTGTTGTAGCTATCTGTAGTCTTGCAATCTTAATACAGATGTTCCTACAGAAAGTGAATAACCATTTCTTGCTGTTTAGATAAGACTTCATCCAGCTGTGGAACCAGTAACTAAAGGTTTCTCTGGGCTGATGTTACAGTGGAAGAGAGTTTGAGACTTGATCAAAATGTCTCCTGCAAAAGGTCTGAGTAGCATTTGTACAAGATTTCATGGAATTCTTTTAGTTGGGTAGTATTAATATCTTTGTTATTTTCTGGCATTCATTTATGTATTTAAAAGCCCAGGAATTGTTGGGACCAGACCTTGCTTGACTTTTTATTGTACCTGATGACAGTGCAGAAGGAACTTCCACAGCTGGATAAGAAATGTCAGTGATCTACCATACCTAGGCAGTATCAAATTTCCAATTCTAATAGCTCAGCAATGTTTTCAGCACTAATAACAAAATTTGGGGGGTAGGGGGAGTGTTGTACCTATCTCTTTATGCACTAGCAGTTTCTTAAATTAAACATGTACCATCTCTAATGTGTCCTTCTATTAAACTTTATGACAATGTACAGATAGATGGTTTACAACTTTTTGTGATAAAACTTCCCTTGGCCAGCAAGTCTTTGAAAGGTGCCTCATTTTGTACCACCTTTTAACCTTTGGTTTTTTCATTTAGAGGAAAACAGTTGAAAGGGATACAAATTTTTTTCTTGACTTGGTAGTGATAACAAAATGAGTGTGAAATCTTTGCTATCACCATTATAGCCTACAATTTCTCATTAGACTTTCACCCATACTGTCATTTGTTATATTAATAATTAAAAATTTTAGCATTAAATAAAATGACATTGGGAGCGATGACCATTTCTTGGTGCTTTTTGGGGGGTACAATTCAGAGTTGCTGCCTGCATTCGCTGATAGTGAGACAGTGGTAGTGCCACTGAAGAATATGGGTTTCTCTTTTTGTTTTGTTACTGGAGAAATGGTTGGGTAAAGGACATGAGGCATAAAGGATACTGTTAGTACAAAAAGTAGTCGGGGAAGGAGAGAAATATTGGGGTGGGGGGAGTCATGAACAAGGAAATAGGTTAAGCATTTATTTATTTTTCAAGTATACAATAGTGGAATCCTTTGTTCCACAACAGTAGGTTGGAGGAAAATGAGAGTGATGAAATTGGTGACAGGAGTGGGAGTAAGGAGCTTTACAAGATTTAAAGAACTATATTTTTTTGAAAGCTTTGTGATAAAAGTGAGAGAGCCATGTTGGGTCATGCCAGTAGATGCAATGAATTAAAGGTTCTCAAGACATGAAAGGAGTGCATTTTGGGAAGCTTCAGAATTAAAGTGAAAGACAAAAAGCCATGTCTCAGTTTCAAATAAAGCACTTTTAAAACCAGTGAATTTGTAAATGAGAAAATTATGGGAAAAGGCTATAAATAAAGGTAGAAATTAATGCATATGCTTATATAGCAACAGATTTTCTAGAATATACTTAGCCTTTCATTCCCTTAATTGATTTATTTCTTTAACTTAATTAAAGTGTATAACTGTTTTGAGAGTAGCAAGTTCACATATAATGTTTTAAAGCAAAAACATCATGGCAACATCATATAGTAATAGTTACAAGGAATACACTTACAGTTTGGATGGAAGAGTAATTTTGAGTTCCTTCATCAACTATATTTCACTAATATTAGAAGTTTGCAGAATGCAGAGATACTGTTACTGAAATCATATAGTGGAATCCTCTGCAACAAAATTTGTTATTTAGTAAATAACAAGGTTTCTCCTGTCAGTGGCTCAGTTTTTGTTTTTGTAGTTTGTATTAAATCCTATTAAATTAAAATTTTAAAAATACAACTAGCAGGAAAATGCAATTAAAAGATGAAAAAGATCTTTTCCAAAGAGACACTAGAAATGATTGTTTTCAGGTTTTCCCCTTTAAAAAAATACCTGCTCTTACTCTTCCAAGGGGAAAAAAGTAAGGGAAACTAAGGAAGTTCTTTTAATTCCTAGACTTTTATGAGCCCATAGTTACTCGAAGTTATTTTGCATATGATTTATAGATAATTTTATTTGGTTAGTGAAGAGTAAAATGTTTCTCTTCCTGATTCCTAAGTGTGTGCGTGGAATCATTCAGAAAAATGTTCACTTGCATGTAGGCCACTAGAAGTCCTGAGTCACCCTCATTTGCTTGCCTTTTGTTCATAGGGAGCAGTTTGAGAAGACACGCCTTTCCTCTGTCATAGACCAAGGTCAGACTGCACCACCGATGAATGGAATACATGTTTACCCTATTCATTATCCAAGAATCTGGATATATTGGGGGAGGGGTGAGGAGTGGGGAGGACACTAGGATTAACTCTTTCTGTGCCATTGCTTGGACTAAACTTAGAAGTGGTGCTACAAATAGTTCAAAATTATTAAGGAAATTAATGATCTAATTTGTGAACTATACAAATCCTCTGCTCCTGTTGACCATTTGCATTTTGGCCATCTCACAACTTCTTAATACCTTTTTCATAAGTTCAGAGGAGCAAAGAGAAGATGGCAAATCAGTCAGTTTGTAAACAATCCTAGTTCAAAGGTTTGGACAGTGAGATTATTGAATAGAGTTTGGGGATATCTCTGAGTTTCTGTTGTCTGTGCTATCCCTGTTCACCATTAACACAAATAATTTTGTACATAATTTTACTATGCTGTATACTGTTTACATTATTAATATATCAGTCTTTGCACCAATCACTCCCTACTCATTTTAGTATAGTATAAATTAAAACTAAAGGAATAATTTTAATCATTTTGTTTTCTATAATACTGTCTACCATGTTTTTAAAGCCCTTAAAATAATTTACGTTCTACAATATAGACTTATCTTTATATGCAATGCTTCCTTAAACATCTATAATACCTTACACACATCATAGGCACTTAATGTTTGTTGAATTGAATGCCCAATTATCTTCAAAGTATTTATTAAATGTTCACATTTGCATGGGCCTATACTGAAAAACTTAATTTGAAAATATATTTGTAGGTTGTGGAAACAAGTAGTTTCATCAAAGAGGATTAATATAACAAAAAACTGTAAATGCAATGTGCATTTGTATTTGTGGAGAAGTAAAATTTCAGACCTTAGAGCAAAAATGTATGATGTAATACATGAATCTATTTAGAATAATTATAGCTATATCTTTATTTGTGTTAAGTAAAATTTGTATAAAAAGAAAACTTATTCTATTGCAGTTGCTCAACAGTACAAAAGATTATTTCATAGGAAAATGCAAACAAGGTATTCTTATCACAACTTCAAAATTTGCTCTGAACAAATACAGTGGCCCACTAAAAATGTCTTTTAAAACCATAATGTACTCACTAAGTACTGTATGTATATATATAGTACTGGTGTGATTTTTCCTCTTAAAAAATTGTAAACCTGCTTTGCATAGCCTGAGGGTACAAGTAAAAGAAATCAAGCCAAGTCAAGACAAGAAGCATTTATTAAGTATTTATGTGCCAGGCACTATTCTAAGCAATGCAAAACTTATTGGTGAAAGCATTGTATTACATAAACACTTAGCACTTTACTAGCATTATTAAAATCATAGCAGCAGATATCATGGTTTTATACCCTCAGAATAGGCCAATTTACAAAGGCAATTTTTTACCAAACCATGAAATTTAAACTCTGCAGAGACAATCAAGTTCCACAGACTAGGCCCACAACTCCCAGTGTAAATTTAGTTTTTTGTAAATAGGAGTGACACTGAATGATTTCAGCCTCTGGGTGGGGCATTGGAGGTTGCATGGCTTTAGTTCAAGCCTTTCAGTGCAATGGAGCCCCCTTGGGACTCTAAAGAGAACATATACCTTTAGGTGGGTTGGACTGTACCTTCCCCCAACCCCACTCCCATGGGAGTAAGTTCAGAACTCATTTTAGGGGGCAAGACTTGATTTATTAGGAGCTATGTTATATAGTTAACAATCAAGACTGAAGAACTACAAGTCACATCATTTACCAGCTTTATTGAAGGAATAATCATACTTTATTCTTCACATGATTTAGAGCTAAAGAGATTTTAGACATCATCTTGTCTTGTCCAAGTTCCTCTTTTTTTGTCATATAAGGAAGCATTTCCAGAGAGGTTGTGACTTGTCTAAGGTCACACAGAGTCTGTAGCTAAAGAACCTAGATTCTAACTCAGGTCATCTGACCCTAAACCCAGTACTCTTTTCCAGTACACAGCACTCCTTAATACCAACAGCATCAATAAATCTTTGAATGACAAAGGCCATTTTCCTAAGCAACAAGATATAAATGGATTAGGTGGGGGTGGGGGTGGGGAGGACTTGAACAGCTCAAGTATTTCTCTGTCTGGGTTTTTTTTCCCTGTAGTGAAAGCAAACCTATATAGATCTAGAAAATACCAGCTCCCTACTTTACCCTAAAAAGAGTAATTTATGTCATGAACAATGGTTCGTATGTTGGCTATTACTCTCTACAATGGAATTTTCCAGAATCATTATTTTCACTCAGGCTGGAACCCTTGTATCTAAGATGATAATTTCAGCTAATTAAGCTTAAGTAAAAATCAGTAAATACTTTTCCAGTTTGACATGCTAGAAACAGAAAAGTAAGGTATAAGAAAGAACTTTTTTATTTGGAATAAATCAATGTCTTTCTAATCTGAATTAAGAATTTTTTTTCTGAGCACCTAAACCTCTCAAAGTCAAATTGCCGCTTGTGCCTCAATCCAAGCCAAAGCTACTTTATCACCTTTCCTTCATTGTCCCCCTAAAAAAACAATCTATTAGCCAGTCTTTCAGGCAAGACTCTTTTTTGATCTCATGCTAGGTGCCAGTCACTGTGCTAAAACCAGGTGATACAAAGAAAGGCAGAAACAGTTGCAACCTTCCAGGAATTTACCTTCTAAAAAGAGGAGAGGATCCACTTTTTCAGGTGGCTTTGTGAGGCCTCAGCAGAAGGTAAAGATTTATTGTAACATGCCCTCTAAGATTCACAGGGAGAATATATAAATTAGTGATTGTTTTAATTAGGGCTGTTTACTACCCATACCGTGATAGATTTTGAACAATAGCTGAGAGCTTTCATGAAGCTTTTAAATATGGAGGCCCACAGGTGTCTTATATGGTCATTTCTCATTCCATGCCTCATTCAATGAAGTCCGTTGTAACAATGAGGTCCATTATAACACTTAACTAGTTGGTTTAAAATGAGACAGGTTAAGTTCCTGTACAAAGTATCGGGCTTGCTAAACGTCTTGAACTTCCACTGACGTAGTTACGGTCGGTCTGAGGCAGAAGGGCCACAATTCTAAGTTCAAATGGTGTTTGCACAAAAAGGTTCACTTTGCATGGCACACACCCGGACATGAAAGGTGCCACCAGAAAACATTATCTTTGTACAAATAAGAAGCCTGTTTCTTAAAACCTGAGCCAGGTCAAAAATGTCAAATTCTGGCATCTCTTTCTTTCTTTTCTATAAGGGAGTTCTAGAAAGAAAACAGTCTACAAATCTGCCAAGCCCTGTTTACTCAAGGGGAAGGAAAGGGGAGGAGGCTCCCTTGTTGTCAAGCAGACTGGGTAAAAGTCTTTCGACCGGGAGAGACCTTGCGGTGGTTTCCAATTGTGACACATAGACTCGCTCATCGCCTGTATTTATTTATTCTAGAACTTTTCACCAGCACCCCTCCTGCCACGCTGCTGCGCTGCTACACACACACACACACACACACACACACACACACACACACACACACACACGCGCGCGCAGCCTGAGCTGCAGCAGCAGTGCATGCATTACTCAAACACCCCGTCCACCCCCGGGTGATGCCTTGG